ATATTCCATATATTGGCTACCAAAGTTTACTTACAGAAACGCACAGAGTGTTAAAAGTAAAATTGCAACAAGTAAAATCAAACCTTTACCTACATCCAAGACAAGCAGACAACTTTACCCTCATTCCCCTAGTAGGGATGTACTACTGTAAAAAGCCCCTTTGTCTCACATGTGCTCATGTACCACGTGGTAAAATGTCTGTCATGCCAAATGGAAGGTACTTATTATTATTATTATTATACAGTATTTATAAAGCGCCAATAGTTCACTCAGCGCTGTACATTACAAGGTAGTTTTACATTAGTGCTTTTTTACTGCCTTTCCTGCCTGTGCAGATTTCTCTTAGTTGGCCGCATCAAAATCTTATGCAAAAGGTTGGGGAACGTCTACGTTTTGTGCAAGAGGGAAGTACAAAACATAGCGTACCATGACTTTTTGCTGAATACCACCAAAAATCCATTTCTAATCTACAGATATGGATAATCAAATCCATCCCTGATAAATATTCTCCAGCTGAGCATTGCCAATCGTGTATTAACAGGAAACTTACTGGATTCTTACTGGATACTCACTAGATACCCCGGCCCGAAAGGTTTGAATGAAGAAATCGAGGTCCGTACTGGTATTTAAGGTTTGTTTATTCTGGCAAATTATTATTATTATTATTTGTGGTTCTTCCCATCATTGTCAAATTTACCCTTGTTTACCCTTGTTTTTTTTAGGTTTTTAACTATGTTGTTTTTTGTTAATCACACCCCCCAGCCCACTTTCTACTCTTCTTTTTTTTTTAGTACTTGCCTTCTATAATATTTTTATAGTAATTATGTATTTATACACCAGAACTCACATGATCACATGATCACAAATCTATTTTTCTACTCCTCACCTCACTTCTTCAGTCTCCTCTCGCATTACTAATAGAGATGAGCGAATCGAACTTGGCGAAGTGGAATTCGTTTCAAATTTTAGGAAAAATTCGATTCGCGCCGAATCCGAAAATTAGCAGACTTCGGATGCTCGAAATCGAAATTTTCCAAAAATGGCGGCGACATGTGTGGCGACGGAGCGGGGATCTCTGGGGAAGGCGCGCAGACAAGGCGCGCTGACCCATAATGCATTCATTCATGACATGTGATCGCATTAGCCAATCAGCAGCCAGCCAGCCAGCACTGTGTAATGGTCGAGCTATAAATTGCGGCCATCTTAGAATTCTCCATTAGCCTCCGGTCATTCAAGAGAGACAGACCTCTCTGTATTAGGGACAGAGTTAGGGCCAAAAGAGACTTTAGGGCCACAGAATCGTTACTTAGGGACACAGAATTGTTACTCAGGGACACAGAATTCTTACTCAGGGACACAGAACTGTTACTCAGGGACACAGAATTGTTACTCAGGGACAGACACAGAATTGTTACTGAGGGACACAGAATTGTTACTGAGAAGGACACAGAATTGTTACTGAGGGACACAGAATTGTTACTGAGGGACACAGAATTGTTACTCAGTGACACAGAACTGTTACTCAGGGACACAGAATTGTTACTCAGGGACACAGAACTTTTACTCAGAGGGACACAGAATTCTTACTCAGGGACAGAATTGACAGGGACAGAATTGTTACTGAGGGACACAGAATTGTTACTCAGGGACACAGAATTGTTACTCAGGACAGACACAGAATTGTTACTGAGGGACACAGAATTGTTACTGAGGGACACAGAATTGTTACTCAGGGACACAGAATTGTTACTCAGGGACACAGAATTGTTACTCAGGGACACAGAATTGTTACTCAGGGACACAGAAACTGTTACTCAGGGACACAGAATTGTTACTCAGGGACAGACACAGAAATTGTTACTGAGGGACACAGAATTGTTACTGAGGGACACAGAATTGTTACTCAGGGACAGACACAGAATTGTTACTGAGGGACACAGAATTGTTACTGAGGGACACAAAATTGTTACTGAGGGACACAGAATTGTTACTCAGGGACACAGAATTGTTACTCAGGGACACAGAATTGTTACTCAGGGACACAGAATTGTTACTCAGGGACACAGAATTGTTACTGAGGGACACAGAATTGTTACTGAGGGACACAGAATTGTTACTCAGGGACACACAGAAATTGTTACTCAGGGGGACACAGAATTGTTACTGAGGGACACAGAATTGTTACTGAGGGACACAGAATTGTTACTCAGGGACACAGAATTGTTACTCAGGGACACAGAATTGTTACTCAGGGACACAGAATTGTTACTCAGGGACACAGAATTGTTACTCAGGGACACAGAATTGTTACTCAGGGACACAGAACTGTTACTCAGGGACACAGAATTGTTACTCAGGGACAGACACAGAATTGTTACTGAGGGACACAGAATTGTTACTCAGGGACACAGACACAGAATTGTTACTCAGGGACACAGAATTGTTACTCAGGGACACAGAATTGTTACTCAGGGACACAGAATTGTTACTCAGGGACACAGAACTGTTACTCAGGGACACAGAATTGTTACTCAGGGACACAGAATTGTTACTGAGGGACACAGAATTGTTACTGAGGGACACAGAATTGTTACTGAGGGACACACAGAATTGTTACTCAGGGACACACAGAATTGTTACTGAGGGACACAGAATTGTTACTCAGGGACACAGAATTGTTACTCAGGGACACAGAATTGTTACTCAGGGACACAGAATTGTTACTCAGGGACACAGAACTGTTACTCAGGGACACAGAATTGTTACTCAGGGGACACAGAAATTGTTACTCAGGGACACAGAATTGTGAGGGACACAGAATTGTTAGGGGACACAGAATTGTTACTGAGGGACACAGGGACACAGAATACTCAGGTTACTCAGGGACACAGAATTGTTACTCAGGGACACAGAATTGTTACTCAGGGACACAGAATTGTTACTCAGGGACACAGAATTGTTACTCAGGGACACAGAATTGTTACTCAGGGACAGACACAGAATTGTTACTGAGGGACACAGAATTGTTACTGAGGGACACAGAATTGTTACTCAGGGACAGACACAGAATTGTTACTGAGGGACACAAAATTGTTACTGAGGGACACAGAATTGTTACTCAGGGGACAGGGACACAGAATTGTTTACTCAGGGACACAGAATCGTTACTCAGGGACACAGAATCGTTGAATTAAAGAGTATGTCAGACAACACGCAGAGGAGTGGCAGAGGAGGCAATGTTTCAGGAGCGAGCAGACGTGGCAGCAGAGGAAGGGGTCGAGGCAGCACTAGTCACAGCCAGAGGCCAGTGCTCCCGGTGTCATCCAGCGGTCGTGTCTCCACCGACAACCCTGCCGTCATCGATTGGTTGGCTCGGTCGTCTTCCTCTTCCCCAGGTCACCTCTGACACCTACAGCCAACGGTCGGTGGGTACGTCAGACACAACCGTTAGTTGGCATGGCCCGGGAGCAAGCCCACTGAAATCACGTGTCCTCTACCTGCCCCTGTCCTTTTGGTGTTCCCCCTCACCAAGCGAAGTATCGCATGCTGTGGGCTCAGCCCCACTGTACAGTGAGGAAGAGCTAACAGAGGGCGGTCAGGAACGGGGGGAGACATCCGCCTCTTCAGCAGCCAGGCGAAGAAGTACTGGCGAGGAGAGTGGCTCGGTAGCCGGTCTAGAGACAGGTCTGTCTCCTGACCCACACGCAGCCGAGGGGGCTAGTAGTGAGGCGGAGACCCTAATTGATGATGATGAGGCTGATCGCACTTGGCAGCCCTCGTCGTCATCAGGCTATTGCTTCCGCATCATCAGGAGAAGAGGGTGCCAGCTTGGCACGAGAGCAAAACAGTCGGTGGGTTGCCCAGGAGGTAGCAGGGTCGCAGCAGTGTCAGTGGAGGCAAACGGCCACGGAGTAGAGCACCAGCTCCACTGCAGCCTACCACCATGGCCAGTAGTGGTGCCGGTGTGCACGGGAGGAAGTAGCAGTCAGCCAGTGAGGAGTAGCGGGGGCAAAGTTTCCTACTCGGCGGTGTGGCAATTTTTCGTCAAGCCGCCCGAGGAAGTAAACGTAGCCGTATGTCGACTATGTGGCCAGAAAGTCAAGCGTGGCCAGGGGGCCCATGTCTCCATCGCACACACTCTGCCATGTGCCACTTTCAGGTCTCCTCACACTGCTGGTGGGTTCCATTTTTGTCATAGGGTGCTGGCAGATTACGGGCCTCCCATTGCTGCTGCCAGGCCCGTAATCTGTCATGGGCCCCTGTACCGCCTCCTCATGCTGCTGCCCAGGCCAGTAATCTGTCATGGGTCCCTGTACGGCCTCCCATTGCTGTGTCTCCATCGCCACACTCTGCCATGTGCCACTTTCAGGTCTCCTCACACTGCTGGTGGGTTCCATTTTGTCATAGGGTGCTGGCAGATTACGGGCCTCCCATTGCTGCTGCCAGGCCCGTAATCTGCCATGGGCCCCCGTACCGCCTCCTCATGCTGCTGCCAGGTCCAGAGTGTCTCATGGGTCCCTGTACGGCCTCCCATTGCTGCTGTCTCCATCGCCACACTCTGTGCCATGTGCCACTTTCAGGTCTCCTCACACTGCTGGTGGGTTCCATTTTGTCATAGGGTGCTGGCAGATTACGGGCCTCCCATTGCTGCTGCCAGGCCCGTAATCTGCCATGGGCCCCTGTACCGCCTCCTCATGCTGCTGCTGCCAGGTCCAGAATGTGTCTCATGGGTCCCTGTACGGCCTCCCATTGCTGCTGTCTCCATCGCCAGCCCACTCTGCCATGTGCCACTTTCAGGTCTCCTCACACTGCTGGTGGGTTCCATTGTCATGTCATAGGGTGCTGGCAGATTACGGGCCTCCCATTGCTGCTGCTGCCAGGCCCGTAATCTGCCATGGGCCCCCGTACCGCCTCCTCATGCTGCTGCCAGGTCCAGAGTGTCTCATGGGTCCCTGTACGGCCTCCCATTGCTGCTGTCTCCATCGCCGCCACACTGTGCCATGTGCCACTTTCAGGTCTCCTCACACTGCTGGTGGGTTCCATTTTGTCATAGGGTGCTGGCAGATTACGGGCCTCCCATTGCTGCTGCCAGGCCCGTAATCTGCCATGGGCCCCTGTACCGCCTCCTCATGCTGCTGCCAGGTCCAGTAAGTGTCTCATGGGTCCCTGTACGGCCTCCCATTGCTGCTGTGTCTCCATCGCCACACTCTGCCATGTGCCACTTTCAGGTCTCCCTCACACTGCTGGTGGGTTCCATTTTGTCATAGGGTGCTGGCAGATTACGGGCCTCCCATTGCTGCTGCCAGGCCCGTAATCTGCCATGGGCCCCCTGTACCGCCTCCTCATGCTGCTGCCAGGTCCAGAGTCTGTCATGGGTCCCTGTACGGCCTCCCATTGCTGCTGTCTCCATCGCCCACACTCTGTGCCATGTGCCACTTTCAGGTCTCCTCACACTGCTGGTGGGTTCCATTTTGTCATAGGGTGCTGGCAGATTACGGGCCTCCCATTGCTGCTGCCAGGCCCGTAATCTGCCATGGGCCCCCGTACCGCCTCCTCATGCTGCTGCTGCCAGGTCCAGAGTGTCTCATGGGTCCCTGTACGGCCTCCCATTGCTGCTGTCTCCATCGCCACACTCTGCCATGTGCCACTTTCAGGTCTCCTCACACTGCTGGTGGGTTCCATTTTGTCATAGGGGTGCTGGCAGATTACGGGCCTCCCATTGCTGCTGCCAGGCCCGTAATCTGCCATGGGCCCCCGTACCGCCTCCTCATGCTGCTGCCAGGTCCAGAGTGTCTCATGGGTCCCTGTACGGCCTCCCATTGCTGCTGTCTCCATCGCCACACTCTGCCATGTGCCACTTTCAGGTCTCCTCACACTGCTGGTGGGTTCCATTTTGTCATAGGGTGCTGGCAGATTACGGGCCTCCCATTGCTGCTGCCAGGCCCGTAATCTGCCATGGGCCCCCGTACCGCCTCCTCATGCTGCTGCCAGGTCCAGAGTGTCTCATGGGTCCCTGTACGGCCTCCCATTGCTGCTGTCTCCATCGCCACACTGTGCCATGTGCCACTTTCAGGTCTCCTCACACTGCTGGTGGGTTCCATTTTTGTCATAGGGTGCTGGCAGATTACGGGCCTCCCATTGCTGCTGCCAGGCCCGTAATCTGCCATGGGCCCCTGTACCCGCCTCCTCATGCTGCTGCCAGGCCCAGAGTGTCTCATGGGTCCCTGTACGGCCTCCCATTGCTGCTGTCTCCATCGCCACACTCTGCCATGTGCCACTTTCAGGTCTCCTCACACTGCTGGTGTGGGTTCCATTTTGTCATAGGGTGCTGGCAGATTACGGGCCTCCCATTGCTGCTGCCAGGCCCGTAATCTGCCATGGGCCCCCTGTACCCCGCCTCCTCATGCTGCTGCCAGGTCCAGAGTGTCTCATGGGTCCCTGTACGGCCTCCCATTGCTGCTGTCTCCATCGCCACACTGTGCCATGTGCCACTTTCAGGTCTCCTCACACTGCTGGTGGTTCCATTTTGTCATAGGGTGCTGGCAGATTACGGGCCTCCCATTGCTGCTGCCAGGCCCGTAATCTGCCATGGGCCCCTGTACCGCCTCCTCATGCTGCTGCCAGGTCCCAGTGTCTCATGGGTCCCTGTACGGCCTCCCATTGCTGCTGTCTCCATCGCCACACTGTGCCATGTGCCACTTTCAGGTCTCCTCACACTGCTGGTGGGTTCCATTTTGTCATAGGGTGCTGGCAGATTACGGGCCTCCCATTGCTGCTGCCCAGGCCCGTAATCTGCCATGGGCCCCCGTACCGCCTCCTCATGCTGCTGCCAGGTCCAGAGTGTCTCATGGGTCCCTGTACGGCCTCCCATTGCTGCTGTCTCCATCGCCACACTGTGCCATGTGCCACTTTCAGGTCTCCTCACACTGCTGGTGGGTTCCATTTTGTCATAGGGTGCTGGCAGATTACGGGCCTCCCATTGCTGCTGCCAGGCCCGTAATCTGCCATGGGCCCCCTGTACCGCCTCCTCATGCTGCTGCCAGGTCCAGAGTCTGTCTCATGGGTCCCTGTACGGCCTCCCATTGCTGCTGTCTCCATCGCCACACTGTGCCATGTGCCACTTTCAGGTCTCCTCACACTGCTGGTGGGTTCCATTTTGTCATAGGGTGCTGGCAGATTACGGGCCTCCCATTGCTGCTGCCAGGCCCGTAATCTGCCATGGGCCCCTGTACCGCCTCCTCATGCTGCTGCTGCCAGGTCCAGAGTGTCTCATGGGTCCCTGTACGGCCTCCCATTGCTGCTGTCTCCATCGCCACACTCTGCCATGTGCCACTTTCAGGTCTCCTCACACTGCTGGTGGGTTCCATTTTGTCATAGGGTGCTGGCAGATTACGGGCCTCCCATTGCTGCTGCCAGGCCCGTAATCTGCCATGGCCCCCTGTACCGCCTCCTCATGCTGCTGCCAGGTCCAGAGTGTGTCATGGGTCCCTGTACGGCCTCCCATTGCTGCTGTCTCCATCGCCACACTCTGCCATGTGCCACTTTCAGGTCTCCTCACACTGCTGGTGGGTTCCATTTTGTCATAGGGTGCTGGCAGATTACGGGCCTCCCATTGCTGCTGCCAGGCCCGTAATCTGCCATGGGCCCCTGTACCGTACCGCCTCCTCATGCTGCTGCCAGGTCCAGAGTGTGTCATGGGTCCCTGTACGGCCTCCCATTGCTGCTGTCTCCATCGCCACACTCTGCCATGTGCCACTTTCAGGTCTCCTCACACTGCTGGTGGGTTCCATTTTGTCATAGGGTGCTGGCAGATTACGGGCCTCCCATTGCTGCTGCCAGGCCCGTAATCTGCCATGGGCCCCTGTACCGCCTCCTCATGCTGCTGCCAGGTCCAGAGTGTCTCATGGGTCCCTGTACGGCCTCCCATTGCTGCTGTCTCCATCGCCACACTCTGCCATGTGCCACTTTCAGGTCTCCTCACACTGCTGGTGGGTTCCATTTTGTCATAGGGTGCTGGCAGATTACGGGCCTCCCATTGCTGCTGCCAGGGCCCGTAATCTGCCATGGGCCCCCGTACATACCGCCTCCTCATGCTGCTGCCAGGTCCAGAGTGTCTCATGGGTCCCTGTACGGCCTCCCATTGCTGCTGTCTCCATCGCCACACTCTGCCATGTGCCACTTTCAGGTCTCCTCACACACTGCTGGTGGGTTCCATTTTGTCATAGGGTGCTGGCAGATTACGGGCCTCCCATTGCTGCTGCCAGGCCCGTAATCTGCCATGGGCCCCCTGTACCGCCTCCTCATGCTGCTGCCAGGTCCAGAGTGTCTCATGGGTCCCTGTACGGCCTCCCATTGCTGCTGTCTCCATCGCCACACTCTGCCATGTGCCACTTTCAGGTCTCCTCACACTGCTGGTGGGTTCCATTTTGTCATAGGGTGCTGGCAGATTACGGGCCTCCCATTGCTGCTGCCAGGCCCGTAATCTGCCATGGGCCCCTGTACCTACCTCCTCATGCTGCTGCCAGGTCCAGAGTGTGTCATGGGTCCCTGTACGGCCTCCCATTGCTGCTGTCTCCATCGCCACACTGTGCCATGTGCCACTTTCAGGTCTCCTCACACTGCTGGTGGGTTCCATTTTGTCATAGGGTGCTGGCAGATTACGGGCCTCCCATTGCTGCTGCCAGGCCCGTAATCTGCCATGGGCCCCTGTACCGCCTCCTCATGCTGCTGCCAGGTCCAGAGTGTCTCATGGGTCCCCTGTACGGCCTCCCATTGCTGCTGTCTCCATCGCCACACTGTGCCATGTGCCACTTTCAGGTCTCCTCACACTGCTGGTGGGTTTCCATTTTGTCATAGGGTGCTGGCAGATTACGGGCCTCCCATTGCTGCTGCCAGGCCCCGTAATCTGCCATGGGCCCCTGTACCGGCCTCCTCATGCTGCTGCCAGGTCCAGAAGTGTGTCATGGGTCCCTGTACGGCCTCCCATTGCTGCTGTCTCCATCGCCACACACCTGCCATGTGCCACTTTCAGGTCTCCTCACACTGCTGGTGGGTTCCATTTTGTCATAGGGTGCTAGCAGATTACGGGCCTCCCATTGCTGCTGCCAGGCCCGTAATCTGCCATGGGCCCCCGTACCGCCCGCCTCCTCATGCTGCCAGGTCCAGAGTGTCTCATGGGTCCCTGTACGGCCTCCCATTGCTGCTGTCTCCATCGCCACACTGTGCCATGTGCCACTTTCAGGTCTCCTCACACTGCTGGTGGGTTCCATTTTGTCATAGGGTGCTGGCAGATTACGGGCCTCCCATTGCTGCTGCCAGGCCCGTAATCTGCCATGGGCCCCCGTACCGCCTCCTCCTCATGCTGCTGCCAGGTCCAGAGTGTGTCATGGGTCCCTGTACGGCCTCCCATTGCTGCTGTCTCCATCGCCACACTCTGCCATGTGCCACTTTCAGGTCTCCTCACACTGCTGGTGGGTTCCATTTTGTCATAGGGGTGCTGTATGGCCTCCCATTGCTGCTACCTCCACCGCCACACTGTGGCTCCACACTCTGGTTTTGGCCCCGTTACTGCCCAAATGAGTGAAGTGTGCGGTGATTCTAAGATCGACGGCACTCATCTGCATGTCATACTGACTGACAGTATTATTTCTCTTCCCCAGCAGACTCCAAGGGCATTTAAATTAAAGGTACAGTGTTCTGCACTAATATAAAGGCTCTCTGAAGCCTAGAAACACCCTTTTTATAAGTTAAATTCGCAGCGAATATATTCGACTCGAATCGAATTTATTCCTCGAATTCGCCGAATCAGCCGAATCGAATTTTTGAATACTTCGCTCATCTCTAATTACTAACCTACTAAGTGGCATATCGGCATGGATCTCACTCCACTTCCTCAAACTCAGTCTTTCCAAAACTGAGCTCTTAGTATTCCCTCCAGCCTGTGCCCCCTCCCCTGACTTCTCCATCAAGATCAATAACACAACCATCAGTCCCTCCCCTCATGCCAGGGTACTAGGTGTAATCCTAGACTCCCATCTGTTCTTTCAGCCCCAAATCTAATCGCTGTCCAAATCTTGTAGACTTCACCTCCGCAACACATCCAAGATACGGCCGTTCTTAACCTATGGAACTACTAAGCAACTTATTCACTCCATGGTTATCTCTCGCCTTGACTATTGTAACTCCCTCCTCATTGGCCTACCTCATCGCAGGCTATCCCTTTTTAAGTCTATCATGAATGCTGCTGCCAGATTCATCCACCTTACCAACCCTTCCATATCTGTCACCCCTCTCTGCCAATCCCTCCACTGGCTTCCCATTGCCCAATGGATAAAATTCAAAACATTAACAATAACATATAAAGCCATTTATAACTCTGCCCCAAATTATATCACCAATCTTGTCTCCAAATATCACCCAAACCGTGCTCTCCGCTTCTCCCACAACCTCCTGTTCTCTAGCTCCCTTGTCTCCTCCTCCCATGCTCATCTCCAGGACTTCTCCAGAGCTTCCCCCATCCTCTGGAACTCTCTACTACCTCAATTTATCAGATTATCGCCTACTCTGCTCACTTTTAGGTGATCTCTGAAAACCTATCTCTTCATGGAAGCCTATCCTGCCCTCAGCTAATAATGGAATCTTCTATTCCTCCTACCAGTCCATCCCCCACAGTTATTACCTTTTTGTACCACTAGCCCCTCCCTCTTATATTGTAAGCTCCAAGGAGTTGGGCCTTCCTAACCCTCTTGTATTGAACTGTATTGTTGCTGTATTTCCTCCCGTTATATTGTAAAGCGCTGAGCAAACTGTTGGCTCTATATAAATCTTGTATAATAATAATGTAATATCCTATTATGTTTGACCCCATTGGTCATTGGCTTCCTTGACTTCTTGCTGATGTCACTATCTGTCCCATTGCTTCTGCACCTCCACGCTGATTTCTGCTGAAATCACTGGTGGTTCTCTTCTCTGTCCATCTACTAGCCCATCAGCTGCAGGATCTTCATACATCTCTCATGCATGGCAGATGACTCCAGGTTCACCAGTTACCACAGCCATTTACACTCAGCCATGCCTGTATACTTCTTCCTGATGTAAGTTGCCAATCAACTTTAATAAAAATCCATTACTATCCATTTTCTCTTCTTTTCTTCTCTCTACACCAACCCTATGAGTCAGAACTAGAGCGCTCCAATCAGCAGGGAGCATGACTTTTGAATCAATTGGTCTGACATGGCAGGGATTGTGTTTCATCTTTGCTGAGGGAGCACTGCTTCCCCACAGATAGCAAGGGTCCTTCTCTGCTGCATGCTGGCAGGGGACAATATTTTCTACTTAGGCTGTTGCTACTTTCTAAAGAAAACCAACTGTAAGTCTTTGCACACCATTTTTGTTTTTGATGCACCTGGAATTAATTTAGCTGACTTAAACTGAAAGTTCAGTCGGGTTTTAATAGCTCTTCTATATGGGTAACGCAAGCAAAATATCTCCACGTTTTAACTGCAGGTGCATTTGAAGTGCTTCCAGTTTCTCTCTTTTCAAAGCAAGCCAGTGCATATCTTGGCGATTTAGAAATGCTTTCTTTTTGACTGACTTTTAATACCTTTTGTCCTCAGCTGACGGGCACATCTGAATCTGATACACCTTATAAATTGGACTACGTCTAGCTCATTTGAATGCTTAAATCTGCCGTTTCTGACAGTCTATTCGTTTTCATCCTAGCCGTGCGAATGGCTTCAGAAGTTTGTGCAGAAATATTTATTTTGCTGCCAAAGGCATTATTTGAATATAGATTGCAAGGAGCCAAACATCTGTGTGTTTATTGGAAGTGAAAGATGCATTCGCAGAGGACCTGAAGCTCACAGATGCGGGTTATATAGAGTACTATGCAGGAGCAACACAGCAGGAGATAGAGCAGAATTTTCTTTCCCACCAATCTGTTTGCGACATGCACTAAAAAAAGTACACTAAAGAAAGGTAATTAAAAATGTCTTGACTAGGGATGAGCGGGTTTATTGTAGGGAAATTGATTTTGCCGCAATATTACCAATACCGTTATCGTAATTTCACGATTTATGAATGAGCTGCCAACGCACAGCAACAGATAACAATCAGCCCTAACCCATGTGTTGTGTACTGCAATGCTAATCAGTTGCTCTAACACTCTGATAAAGAAGGAGATTCCTTCGGAATGCGTCAGAAAACTGGGATCCCAGTGAGGGCTCCATGCATTCTGGAGACTGCGAAGTCCAGGACTTTTAAGCTATGCATGAGTGGCTTGATAAGCGAAATGCTTGTGAGGACTTATGATGAATGTTAATAAATACACCATCTCTACCTGTGCTGGGCTATCATACTTCTGCACAGGAGATATCTGTTGCTGTTGGTTATTTGAATGCAAGTAAAGCCTGCTTAGAATCAACAACCATTCCAGGCTGAGATCCACTCATCATGACATTTTGATATGTGCATCCTGGGTCTTGAGAGGAGTACTAAGACAAGGTGCTGTGATTTTTTTCAGGAAATCAGGTACAGAATCCTACTGGCCCTTTCCACCACCCATTCTATCTAATTACTGACTGAATTATTTAATTATTTAAGCATAGAGACCTTATTTTACACAGTAACTGTCTGTGAAGAACAATGTCAAACACTTTTGCAAAGTCCAAGAATACTAAATCCACAGTTGGTCCTGTTTTTATTTATTTCCTCATAAAAAGAAAGTAGATTTGTTTAACTTCAGTCTTTTGTGAATCCAAAAATGTATCTATGTGGTCCTTTACCAAACGTGTTTGACTATAGATGGTAAATTTACAGGGCTGTAGGTACTTAGTGAAGACTTTGATCCCTTTTTGAATATAGACACCACAATGGCCTTGCGCCAACCCATTGGTACTAAGCCAATCAATAAAGTGTCTCCAAAAATTAGAAACAAAGGTTGTAAAGAAGCAGAGCGCAACCCTTTAATGACACATGGGTGTAAGCCATCAGGTCCAGGTTCTTTATTCATGTTTTCTCTGTCTACCTGTTTCTGGACCTAATCAACATTGAGCCATTGTGGTTCATTTCATGCTGCTGCAATACTATCCCCATTATAGACCTAAGCTTAACCATTTTCCTTTGTATACAGAGAGCTAAAGAATGTATTTGATAGATTTGCCATCTCTTTGTCCTTAGTCTTCAACTCTGAGTTATCTTGCATGGTGTCTACAAGATCAGAATTTATATTTTTACTATTAATAATTTCAGCAAATTTTGGGAGGGTTTGTTTAACTTTATTGCAACCTGTCATAGGTTTACCTCAGAGATGTTTACAGAAAAATGAATTTTGTTTCATTTTGGTTTCATTTGTTAAAGTGTTACTAAACCTACAACAGCAATATCAGTGTGTATATGCAGTAAAGTATGCTTGTTATACTCACTGTGGAACCTAAGGGGTAAATCCTCTGCATTGTGTAAAAAGGAAGTTTGATCCTTTCTTCTTTGATCCTTCTCTTCTTCTACTGTCCCCAATCCATCTACTGATACAACAGAGCCTTGGGGGCATGCTCAGTTTGGTGTGTATTGCTAGACAGGTTTTTTTTTCTTGAAAAAGTGCATATGATAAGCACAGGGCCAACCAGCGCTGTCCACACACAAGGTCAGGGGTCCTGTAGCCTCATTGGACACTACAAGCTTTACCAGTGCTCTGCTGGACACTGATGGAAGTCACAAGACTGCTGTAACTGCTATTGA